ATTCCGTCGCTCCGTCTCCAAGGTGGTGGTATCCTTGAAAGCGCGTTCCAGCCTCTGGCCGCCACTCCCGCCCGTCAGTCTCGGGGCCCTGCTACCCCGCGCCCACTTAACTTTACCAATTCGTTCAATCTGTCTTGGATCGTGGAGGTCAGGGGACGGGGGGGAGGACATGGGGGACGGTGGGGGGGGAGGGGTTCGGCAAAAAAAAACTAAAACAACAAGAGCAGCCGTTTTTTTCATTCAATTATATTATCGGTGACGTAGACCAAAAAAAAACAACTCGATATTTCAAGAGCGACCCCGCGACACCGAATACCGGAGGTGGGTCTTCAATAAGTAACATCGCGAAGTGGCAGTCTATATAGGAACCGGGGTGCAGGGCTGCGGGGTAGGTAGGTATACAGGGACTACTCTACTTACGAATGCGTCATATTCCAGAGGTCTGTTCGTAAGTCGGTTTGTTTGTAAGTCCCAACTTTGCTCCTGTCGATTACAAACATCTTGTACGGCATGTACACTAAACACGGGGAATGGCTTTAAAAGTTGTATCATGGAGATATAGACGCCACCGGTTCTTTATGTTCTGGAGCTGTAGATGCCACTGGTTCTTCACGTTCTGCAGTTGTAGATGCCACTGTTTCTTCACGTTCTGTAGATGTAGATGCCGCTGGTTCTTCACGTTCTGCAGATGTCGATGCCACTGGTTCTTCACGTTCTGCAGATGTCAATGCCACTGGTTCTTCACGTTCTGCAGATGTAGATGCCACTGGTTCTTCACGTACTGCATATGTAGATGCCACTGGTTCTTCACGTTCTGCAGATGCCACTGGTTCTTTATGCTCTACAGATGTAGATGCCACTGGTTCTTTACGTTCTGCAGATGTAGATGCCACTGGTTCTTCATGTTCTGCAGATGTAGATGACACTGGTTCTTCACGTTCTGCAGATGCCACTGGTTCTTCACGTTCTGCAGATGCAGATGCCACTGGTTCTTTACGTTCTGCAGATGTAGATGCCACTGGTTGTTCACGTTCTGCAGATGTAGATGCCACGGGTTCTTTACGTTCTGCAGATGTAGATATCACTGGTTCGTCACGTTCTGCAGATGTAGATGCCACTGGTTCTTCATGTTCTGCAGATGTAGACGCCACTGGTTCTTCACGTTCTGCAGATGTAGATGCCACTGTTTCTTTCTATTCTGTAGATGTAGATACCACTGGTTCTTCATGTTCTGCAAATGTAGATGCCACTGGTTCTTCATGTTCTGCAAATGTAGATGCCACTGGTTCTTCACGTTCTGCAGATGTAGATGCCACTGGTTCTTTCTATTCTGTAGATGTAGATACCACTGGTTCTTCATGTTCTGCAAATGTAGATGCCACTGGTTCTTCACGTTCTGCAGATGTAGATGCCACTGGTTGTTCACGTTCTGCAGATGTAGATGCCACTGGTTCTTTACGTTCTGCAGATGTAGATGCCACTGGTTCTTCACGTTCTGCAGATGCCACTGGTTCTTCATGTTCTGCAGATGTAGACGCCACTGGTTCTTCACGTTCTGCAGATGTAGATGCCACTGTTTCTTTCTATTCTGTAGATGTAGATACCACTGGTTCTTCATGTTCTGCAAATGTAGATGCCACTGGTTCTTCATGTTCTGCAAATGTAGATGCCACTGGTTCTTCACGTTCTGCAGATGTAGATGCCACTGGTTCTTTCTATTCTGTAGATGTAGATACCACTGGTTCTTCATGTTCTGAAAGATGTAGAACCCACTGGTTCTTCATGTTCTGCAGATGTAGAACCCACTGGTTCTTCATCTTCTGTAGATGCCACTGGTTCTTCATGTTCTGCAGATGTAGATGACACTGGTTCTTCACGTTCTGCTGATGTAGATGCCACTGGTTCTTCACGTTCTGCAGATGTAAATACCACTGGTTCTTCACGTTCTGCAGATGCCACTGGTTCTTCACGTTCTGCAGATGTAGATGTCACTGGTTCTTCACGTTCTGCAGATGTAGATGCCACTGGTTCTTTACGTTCTGCAGATGTAGATGCCACTGGTTCTTTACGTTCTGCCGATGTAGATGCCACTGGTTCTTCACGTTCTGCAGATGTAGATGCCACTGGTTCTTCATCTTCTGCAGATGTAGATGCCACTGGTTCTTCATCTTCTGCAGATGTAGATGCCACTGGGTATTCCCGTTCTGCAGATGTAGATGCCACTGGTTCTTCACGTTCTGCAGATTAGATACCACTGGTTCTTCAGATGTAGATGCCACTGGTTCTTTACGTTCTGCAGATGCCGCTGGTCCACAATGCTTTATAATGTCCACTTCAGTTTCCACCGTCATTGTGCGCGGCTTCTTACTACCACCCTCAACACTTTCACCACTCTTACGCTTCTGAGACATGACGGGGGGTTGATGATGTTCGTGAAAAGCACAGAGAGAACGTCGGAGTGAACCGCACAGCGTCAATGCAACAACAGCAGACAGTGGAGGCGGCCCAAAGCAGAAATACTGGGAATGCTGGGTAATGAATAGGAATGCTGGGTAATGACACAAATAACCACCACCGCCATCTGTTGCGTGGCGGTTGAACTTAAGACTCTCGGTTCCGAACGGGCAACTGGACCAAGTTTGTTCGTATCTCTGATAGTTCGTAAGTCGAATTTTCGTAAGTCGAGGAGTCCCTGTGTATATATTTAAGGCCACACACAGTGGTGTTATTGATTCAGGTGTTGCTGTTGTTCTTGTCATCGTTATTAACCCTTGTGCTTGTCCACCACCATTGCCAACGCTACCAACACAGCAGCAGCAGCAGCAAAGTACTTCGTTTATCTTACAACACGTGCTCCCGTGGGCGTCTTTAAAATACGTCTCGTCAGGTGGAATACCCACTCCTGATACGTGGAATCCATCCGTCCACACATTCAATGTTTAATGTGCCATTCAATGTTTAATGTGCCAGTGTATTGCGGGACTGCTACGACTGTGTGGCGTTCTCTCGGTGCGGCGTGGGATTGCTCTGCTGTTGATTTTGCTGCCTTGCCCAAGCTTGATAAATAGGACTTTTAAGAATAATTCATATTTAGTGACTTTGCTTTACAATTTTCTCAATTTTGCACTGCTATTGTGGGGTTTTTTTTATTCCCCCCCCCCCTTCTTTATTGTGTTTGCTGTTACAACTTACGGAGCCCGCGGCCCACATTGGAACACCTGTTTAACAAAACTCAAAAAGTGCTCTGTGGCTTTTCCGATTCCTCTTCCTCATGCACCTGCATGTAGTCTAAATAAAGATCCCCACTCCGATTCGCACAGCTCTTGGGGTGTCCGCGCGCGCGCGCGCACACACAGTAAAGATTGAGACCCGCGACTATTAACCACCAACTCTCGCACGCTGCTCAATTTCCAACTGCGCCAGCAGCAATGGCACAGACAAAAGACTGCCTTCCTCTCCTCTCTCACGCACGAGCGCGCGTGGGGGAAGGCGTTTAAGGCACTTCGGATCGCCCGGCGCGGCAGTTGAAAACTTATGACCGGCCGACTCCTTCATCGCCACCAGAAAAAAAGACAAAGAATCCCCACTGTGTAGCCTCTCACAGACTGTTGGGGCAAGTGCTGTTAGCTGAGTACCTACTGAAGGCCGGCACGGCACACGAGGGGGTGGTTGGCCAGCACCACGCCTGGCCGCCTTTGTCTCCCGAATAGCGATGTTCACACACCGCACCAGGTACTCATTTTAGGCTGAGTCGACCTAGGGGAGGCCCAGGACCGGCTCAGATAATCGTCACCGGTGTTGGCCGTGAGCGGGAATCGAACTCGGGCGGCCGGATTCGTATCGAACTCGGGCGGCCGGATTCCTAGCGCAGCGTAGCGGTAACCGCTACACCACCGCTCCCCATCGCTAGACAACCACCCACCACCACCCACCTACCCCCACCACCACCTACCCCCACCACAACCATCCACCCACCTAACACCACCATCCACCCACCTACCCCCACCACCACCATCCACCCACCTACCCCCACCACCACCACCTACCTCCACCCACCCCCATGCCACCACCACCACATCGTCATCGATTGTCCACGACTGCTGCTTCTCTGGCTACACAGCGGCCCCCGCTACGCCGTCAGCTTGGCGAAAGCGGCGCTCAATATCGGAGTGACGCACTCCGATATTCCCTGCGCAGGCAAAAGCTGCGAGAGAGCCTGGGGGGTGGTGTGTGGGGTGTGGGGGGAGGGGTGTGTGGGGGGGTGTGGGGGGGGGAGCGGTGGCGCAGCGGTTAGCGCGCCGCGAACCCGGCGGTTCTGAGTTTGATTCCCGCTCACGGCTACCAACGCTAAGTGACGATTACCTTGGACCGGTCCACTGCCCCCCACAGCCCCCCCCCCCATCCCCCCCACAGGTCGACTCGACCTCAAATGAGTACCTGGTGCGGTGTGTAGTAAATATCGCCACTGGGGAGACAAAGGCGGCCGGGCGTGATGCTGGCCACCCGCCCCCCCCCCCCTCACTACTTGTGTACCGGGCCAGCCTGCATCGGTGCTGCTCGCTAACAGCACTTGCCCCAACAGTTTATTAAGGCTACACTGGGGGGGTGGATCTTTGTCTTTGCAGACTGCCAAGTGGGGTTAGCGAGCACCTATTAAGGTTGGGCACGGCGCACGAGGTGGCAAGCACCACGCACGGCTGGATGCGCTCTCCCCAACAACCAACCAACCAACACCACCACCGCATCTTACCGACGTGCACAATAACACCACCGAAACCAGGTACAAATACTCATTTAAGGCCGAGCCGACCTAAGGGGTGTACAGCGAGGCTCGCCAGCCCGCTTCTGATAATCGCCACGGACGTTCGCAGCCCTCCCCTGCTCGGGGATCGAACGCAGCAGGAAGGAGGCGGTCGCGTTCAGCAACACCGCTACCCTCCCCCGCCCCAATGACTGTGGCACGTGGCAAAGCGACTCCCCCACTCGGTCGAGGCACTCACCGGGTTACAGAAGCGGCAGCAGTGGCTGAAGCGGAACAATCCCCCGGCGCCTTCCTCCCCTGCAGTCCCTGCTAAAGCCGTGCACGTGAGAGAGCGTCTCTGTCTCTCTCGCTCGCTGTGTGTGGCGATGTTCACCGCGCAACCACGGTTACTGTATCGCGGGGAGCGGTGGAGCAGCGGTTAGCGCACTGCGCTACGATACCCGCTCCGCCTCTCCCCTCCCCCTCCCCTGTCCTCCCCTCCCCCTCCTCCCCCCTCCCCCTCCTCCCCCCTGTCCTCCCCTCCTCCTTCTCCCCCTGTCCTCCCCTCCCTTCCTCCCCCTCCGCTCCCCTCCCATGTCCTCCCCTCCCTTCCCCCTCTCCCCCCCGCTCCCTTCCCCTCCCCGTCCTTCCCTCCCCCCGCTCCCCCTTCCTCCCCTCCCCTAACCCCCCCGCACCCCGAGTTCGACTCACGACCTGCGACTCGACTCGATCATCGGAAGCGGGAATTGTGTCCACCCCCTACCGGCCTCCAATGAGTAACCACGTGGGTGCCGCTGCTGTTTCACGACAGGCAATGTGGGAGGTGGTGCTGCTGGAGATACAAAGGCGGCCGGGCGAGTGCGTGGTTACTAGCCACTGCGACACACTCGTGCGCCGTGCCTTACCTGCATCGGTGTTCGCTCACAGCGGACAGTGAAGCCAACAGGCGCTACGCCGATTGAGGAGTGCTGGGGGGAGCGGTGGTGCAGTGATTAGCGCACTGCAGGTGAAAGCATCCCCCCCCCCCTATTCCCACAATATCAGTGCTACTGTATAAGAAAGTGTCCAAGACCTGCGCTCCCCAGGGTCGACACCGGGGGAGACATACACGGGCGTTAATAGGTGCTCGCAAACATCACTCCACCCCACCTATATAATACGGCTATCTGTTTGTGCACTAAAATATATTGCGTATATATACACACACACGCAGCAAGGTAAACAATTAGAGTGTGCGTCTTTACAATATTGTTTACATTCGCAATGCTGCATGAGAGGCTGCAGCCATAGCGTGACAGTTATGGGGGGTGGGGGGGGGGAGTTATATGACCATACTTCACCAGGCGGGCTAGTGCGGGGTTGGTTGAAGGGTGCGGAGTGGGTGTGGGTGGGTGGGTGGATGTGGGTGAGTGGATCTGGGTGGGTGGGTGTGTGGATCTGGGTGGGTGGGTGGATCTGGGTGGGTGGGTGTGTGGATCTGGGTGGGTGGGTGTGTGGATCTGGGTGGGTGGATGTGGGTGAGTGGATCTGGGTGTGTGGGTGTATGTGGATGGGTGTGGCTGGGGAGATAACCAAGTCCAATTCAGAAATCACTGCCTGATGTTAGCATGACCGAGGGATTCGAACGTGGCTCTGTGCGCCACCGCCCACACCGCACTGTTTCGCACGTAAGGTGGAGTGGACGCGCTCAGGGTGCGACTTGTGCCAATCGGTAGGTAGACAAAGATCCCCCGTGTAGCCTTAACAGACTGTAGGGGCAAGTGCTGTTAGCGAGCACCTACGAAGGCCGGCACGGCACACGAGGGGGTGGGTGGCCAGCACCACGCCCGACCGCCTTTGTCTCCCCGGTGGCGATGTTTACACATCGCCACCGGGCACTCATTTGAGGCTGAGTCGACCTCGGGGAGGCCCAGAACCGGTTCAGATAATCGTCACCGGTGTTGGTCGTGAGCGGGAATCGAACCCGGGTCGCCGGGTTCGTAGCGCGACGTAGCGCTAACCGCTACACCACACACACAGAAGCCGGGAATAGCAACGGCAAGGCTTGCAGCATGCCAAGATGACGAAGATCGTGCCGACACTCCAGACCCGATGTCGTCTTCGCTCATTCAGCAAAACACGGCCGAGATTGGGAGGCGGCGGGGGGGCGGTCAAAATAGGTCAAGAAAAGGTGCCACGGATTTGGTGGCAGATTTTATTTGTTGTAAAATAATGATTATTACTTAGGCAATGGAGGAACAGGAAGATGCGGTTGTGGCCCAGTTTTTTTTTAAATCTGTACAGCCCTCCAAGCAAGCCTTGGGATTGTCCTGTGGCGAGACGGAGAGAGGAAAGAAAGGTGTTGATGAAGAGGGAAGCCATGCGCGAGGTCGCCAGGACGGGAGATTGAAGGTCAAAGTGGATCTTGTCTCACCCAGTGAGATCTCAAAGCGACCAGGGATGAGTCGCGTTAGCAAAGAGGGGAGCGAGAAGATAGAGGAAAGGTGGGAGAGTGCGCGGAGTGGAGTGAGATGAGAGGGGAGAGGGAGGAGAGTGCGCGGAGTGCAGTGAGATGAGAGGGAGGAGAGTGCGTGGAGGGGAGTGGAGTGAGATGAGAGGGGAGAGGTAGGAGAGTGCACGGAGGGGAGTGAGATGAGAGGGGAGAGGTAGGAGAGTGCGTGGAGGGGAGTGGAGTGAGATGAGAGGTAGGAGAGTGCATGGAGGGGAGTGGAGTGAGATGAGAGGGGAGAGTGCGTGGAGGGGAGTGGAGTGAGATGAGACGGGGGGGGGGGGGGGGGTGACGATTTCTGTTGTGTATGTACGTACACGATGTATGTTGAACTTCTTTCGCACCGTACGTAGCCGACCGTGGCAACCGGCTCGCCAGGCTACGATGCCCATTGAGAGGAGTGATGTCAACGGCGACGGTTGCCCGGCTGTCGAGACCGACCCACTTGCTGACAAATGGAGCGGCAGCTAAAGAGGAGAGTAAACAACAACAACAACAAATAACAACATCCGAGTGGAGGCGGCAACCGCGGGGGACGCGGAGCGACGGGAATCGGCGCGTGAGCGGCCGCTCGGTGGAATTGGTGCATCCGCGACGGTTCGATAAAGATGCCATCATCCAGCAGTGGACTGATCATGGCTGATGATGGCCAATGCCTAGTTCGGTCATCGTCGCCGCCTACTGGCTGGGCAAACAGGACACAGGCGAATGGGCCGACAGGCACCCAATCCTAGCGCTTTCTCGAGATGGCCGCAGAGGGAAGTGGAAACCTTCATATCCCTCCTCCATTTGCGTCCAGTGTGCGTGTCACTACGTTAACGCGTGCTTATCTGAAGGCGTACCAGGTGCGCGCTCCGAGGTCCGTGTTTTGCCTATGAATGGCCCCACGGGCGCGTGCGGGATACGAGGGCGGTGCTTCGTCAACTGTCTCAAACGAAATATTAAAATGGGCGGAGCGTCGGTCTATTGAAGCACACGGGCCACGCCGCCCGCGACAGGCACGTGCTCACCATCGTCACCGTCGTCACCGTCATCATGCTCACCGTCATCGTCGTCACCGTCGTCGTGCTCACCGTCGTCACCGTCGTCACCGTCGTCATCGTCGTCACTGTCACCGTCACTGTCACCGTCATCGTCGTCATTGTCGTCGTCATCGTCGTCGTCGTGCTCACCGTCGTCACCGTCATTGTGGTCGTCGTCACCGTCGTCACCGTCATCGTGCTCACCGTCACCATCGTCGTCACTGTCGTCACCGTCATCGTGCTCACCGTCGTCGTCACCGTCATCGTGCTCACCGTCGTCGTCACCGTCATCGTGCTCACCGTCGTCGTCGTCACCGTCGTCGTCGTCACCGTCGTCGTCACCATCGTCGTGCTCACTGTCATCGTCATCGTGCTCACTGTCGTCACCGTCATCGTGCTCACCGTCGTCGTCATTGTGCTCACCGTCACCATCGTGCTCACCGTCGTCCTCGTCGTCATCGTCGTTGTGCTCAGTCGTCATCGTCGTCGTCATCGTTGTTGTGCTCACCGTCACCGTCGTGCTCACCGTCGTCATCGTCGTTGTGCTCACTGTCGTCATCGTCGTCGTCGTCACCGTCGTCACCGTCGTCGTCACTGCCGTCACCGTTGTCGTCATCGTCGTCGTGCTCACCGTCGTCGTCATCGTCATCGTCGTTGTGCTCACCGTCGTCGTCATCATCGTCGCCGCCGCCGCCCAGGGTCACTCCACTGCTGGATGGATGCCGAAGCCCAATCCGTGGCCATCCTCTCACGCTCAACTGATGTCCAGGGTGCTTCAAAAACAACGTGAACGCTCCCGAGAATTTGCAAACAAAAACCACGAGAGACGTGCCGCCGCCGGGCTCTGGAGATCACCTGGAGAAGATCCCAGGCACGCGTTGGCAACGATGACGGACCAAGTGGAGACTCTCTGACTCTTTGAAGCTATTAACATCACACTTGTTATCACGTTACAGTGTAGTATCCCTTCTTTTTCCATTAAAAACGAAAGTCCCGTATAAGTGTGAACATTTTTAAGCACCCTGTATACTAATAAAACCACCACCCGCACACCGAATTGACTTTACAATAATGATGATGATGATGGTGAATAAAGTCCAACTGGTAAAGGCGCGCCGCCGCCGCGCTCGCCACACGCGACGCGCTCGATTTCATAGACAGAGGGAGGACGACTCAAGAGGCGTCGGGCGGAACCACAGACGAGTGGGGCGTGCACCCACGTGGTGAGCCGGTGTCAAACCTCACGCCCCGAGCTCTGTGGTCCTCTATTTATTAAGATGTTACGGGCCAATTGTTGAGTGTTCACGTGTGGGAGGTACACCGGGGCAGCCTGGAGAAAATCCACGTGTGCGAGGGGACAACACTCTATCCCCATACAGATTGGACTGGTGGAGGGATTAACACGTAGGCTTTTCGTGACCAATATCATCCATAATAGAGGTTGTTTTGGGTTAGATCGCGTAAATATATAAATGTTGTGTCGTTAAACGCGCCACCACCCGACACAGCCAACTGGTAAGGGTTGTCACGTAAACAGAACGTGGCCAATTCGTCACTAGTACAGCACTAGTGTATACACACTAGTGTGTAGTGTACAGTGTATAGTAGTGTATAGTGTAGTGTATAGTAGTGTATAGTAGTGTATAGTGTAGTGTATAGTAGTGTATAGTAGTGTAGTGTATAGTGTATAGTAGTGTATAGTGTAGTGTATAGTGTAGTATACTAGTACCGCACACCGGTGTGTTGGAGAGCCAAGCCACAACAGTTACAATCTGAGTACGACGTTTCGCCACTAATTACAAATAGCTTCATCAGGCGACAGCCAGAATTGTGGAGAAGTCAAACTGTTTCGTTCCTTATATAGAGGCGTAGATGTACTTACAAACATTCGACTTATGAACTTTCAGCGATACGAACAAACCTGGTCCATATGTCCAGTTGCCTGTTCGGAACTGAGAGTCGTAAGTTCAACCGCCGTGCAATAGATGGCGGTGGTGGCATCTACATCTACAGAACATAAAGAACCAGCGGCATCTACATCTGCAGAACGTGAAGAACCAGTGGCATCTACATCTGCAGAACGTGAAGAACCAGTGGCATCTACATCTGCAGAACATAAAGAACCAGCGGCATCTGCATCTGCAGAACGTGAAGAACCAGTGGCATCTACATCTGCAGAACGTGAAGAACCAGTGGCATCTACATCTACAGAACGTGAAGAACCAGTGGCATCTACATCTACAGAACATGAAGAACCAGTGGCATCTACATCTACAGAACGTGAAGAACCAGTGGCATCTACATCTGCAGAATATGAAGAACCAGTGGTATCAACATCTCCAGGAGATTATCCAACTTTTAAAGCCACTCCCCCGTGTTTAGTGAGCACGCCGTACATGTTCGGAATCGACATGAGTAAAGTTGAGACTTACGAACAAATCGACTTACGAACAGACCTCTGGTACCTAACTCGTTCGTAAGTAGAGGAGTCCATGTATATATTTGTTGTTGTTCTCCCCACCGACTTGAACACACGCACCCCTCGCTCGCACGAAACACGACGGACTACGGAGGGTGCACACGCAGGGCACCAGGGGAGAGTGGTGGCGGTGGAGGAGGCGGTGGCTACGCGGTAACTCCTCGCGCATCACAGGGTTCGATTCCCAATGCGGGCGCCTTCCTCCGCTTCGAGTTTGTGTTTCCTCTATCTCCCTCTCCCCCCACTTGTTCTGTATGGGTTTCCTCCGGGTTCTTCCCGTTATCTTCCCAAACCTACAAAGCAAAAAACCCGCCACACACAGGGCATTAAGCGAGCAAAACAAATATCCCAACCAACGCTAAAACATGTACTCTGCAGATGAGTCAACTGGGATCACACATGGCAGCAGCATCAGCGTCGCCTCCACCTTGGCAGGCCCCTCCTGCAGAGCCTTGAGACTCGGCGGGGCTGTCCGCGGAGGTCGAGCGGAATGACCGAGCCATAAACGAGGGAAGACGTTGCGCATGTGACGGCGGCTGTGGCTAAAATTGAGTGCCTCAAACCCCACCCCCCCCCCCCCCCCCCCCCGGCTCCACACGAAGCCACCGCATCTCGCCCGTTCCACATGTGCCAATTTTCTCCGTTCAAATACCCAGTTTAGGACAATTTATTATTATTTTGGATAAGATTCGTTTCACATTTTCCGACGCATGCTACGTTTCGACAGCTAACTTCCCGTTGGGCTTTACGTGTCGTGCGCTTCCTCTGTTCACAGAGCTCGTTGTTGTTGTGATTTTATTGGAAACTCATTTCGTTAGAACTCCTTGTTGTTGTGTTTAGTTTGTCGCCCTTATCCCGCACCTCCGACTGGCTACGTACGGTGGTGCGGAAGTTCAACGCACGTACAAAGGGACCCATAGACGTAGGGACCCATAGACAATGTGCACATTGGGTTGGCTGAACTTTTTTCTCATCTTAATCTTAACAGAATTTACATAGCGCCTTCGCCAAGGCGCTTTACAGAGAATTAACGAACGGTACAGCAACAACGTGCACGTGTGTCTGAATGTAATGGGTGGAGCTGAGGTGAATGAAATGGACGAGAGGAAGCAGTGAGGGACGAATCTGTGGTGATGCGTGAAATCGGTGAGGGCGAAATTGATGACGGTAAATGTTGATGATGAACGGATTGCATGAACGATTGGGGAATTAACATTTGCGGTGGGGGAGTTGGGGGGGGGGGGAGGAGGGGGCAGTGGTTAACACGTGGGAGGGCAGGGAGTTGGGGGGGGGAGGTGGGGGGGGAGAGGGGGGGGGGGGGAGTTGTGGGGGCCAATTTAACCCGCGTAGGTCTCCGTAGCTACCACGTGTAAATGAAGCGTCGCCTCGCGCACCAGGCCGCATGCTCGCCCCCTCTCGAGCTGCCGCCACCGCGCACTCCTTCCCGCGTCTCTCCGGAGCAGGCTCATGCCGCTCTCCATCCCGACGATGACGACGACCCCCCACCCCTCCCCAGCCCTCCCTCGGTTCTACCGGCGGCCGTCGTTCTGGGCTCTTATCGTCACCCGACACGACCCAAGCCGCGTGACGTCTGCGGGGGGTGGGGGGGGGGCGAAACGGGATCGTTCTGGGTGATGACGGAGTTGCGCGCAGCAACGCTCACCCAGGGGGGCGCGAAGGCCTCGCCGAGTCTATGGGAATTCAAATTTGATTTGAAGCCTTCGTGACTGCAGGAATTACTCTTTGGTTCTTTCGGTAAAGTAACGTAGAAAGAAAATAAATTAAATAATAGAGTACGATGTTTCGATTGCAACACAAGCAACCGCCATCAGGTAGAACTAAATTTGAGAGAGACACAAAACACAGACACGGAGACACACAGACAGACACACAAGTAGAGAGAGACACACAACATAGATCTATGGGAATTATTTTTTTAGGAGGGGCCACGCCAAGTTTTTCGCAGGAGGTGGAGGTGGCGGACAGGGGGTGGAGTGGGGGGGCGATGTTGCTGCTGTGTGTAAATCCCAGTCGAATAATTTGCGGTGTTGATCAACATATGGGATGTTTTGGTTCAACACCCATTCACAATGTGTGTGTATGTTTTGTAGCTATGGTAGGAAACCATGAACCAGGAGGAAACCCATGCAGACCACGGTGCGAATATATAAATTCAACACAGAAAGGCGTCCGAGTCGGGAGTAGAACCCAGTTTCGTCTTGCCGTGAAGCACAACTTTGGCCACTTGGCCACCCTGTGTTGTTAGAGAGGCAGCTGTTAGCGAATCAAATGCCGACAGCCACGTATCACAGCGAGAGGCCAACCTCATCCTCTCCACACAGAGATGATTGATTGATGGATGTAAGATTCTAATGATGTTCCAGTTGGAGCAAATATATCAGAATGTGTTGAACAAATATAGTTTAATCTACGTAACTGGAAACGTTATTAAAACCATTGTCCCAAAAAAGATTTGCCCTGTGTTTTTTTTTACTCAGACGGCAGGTTCAGCCTAGAGTTCAACAATGCTTTAGGTCTCGTCCTGAACACTTTTCCATCTCGCGCGAAACAAGTCTTCACCTCCCGTGGGTTGTGAGACGAAAGCCAATGGAAATCGGGTAGGTGAACATCACTCTGGCCAAAGATAAGATTCACACCACGGGTGTCGCCACTGTAATTAGCGTTGAGAGACGATCGCTGTCCATGGTGCTGGTCTGGTGCTGATCTGGACACGGGGCACAGAGAGCTTTCCATGGTGCTGAACACACAACAATAACAGCAGCAGCCACCATTCGCCTCTAAGTGGTGGTGATGTTATCACAGCGCCTGTGCCGGGCTAGGTGCACTTTCACGCCACGTGAAGCGTTAAAAGCTTGACAGCAGGACGTTATGGGACAGACCCAGGTGCTGTGGGTTGACTGACTGAGACGACTGATAAATGCACCACCCGGCGCTCCGCTCGTGGTTGTGAGTATCGCTCCTATGTCCTCTGTTATTGCTGGAGGGCGACTGGCTGCAACTGCCTAATACCTGTGTCCTTCACGAGCCTCCTCCAGGGGCCGATGTTGACACCACGGGTACCAGTCATCGGCTGAACGCAAAACACAAATATCCCCCGTATAGCCTTTAACATGCTAATTTCTCACATTAACATCACTAGTCCCGGCCACTTCTTTATAACCCTTGAGCTACACCCTTTTCAAATCTTTTAAAACAGTCTGCCTCAGCAGCAGACCACGCTTTCCCACCTGGTGCTGGACGCTTGTGTTGCGCCCGAAACGTCGTGATTTATTTTATTTTATACCTACGTGACTTTACCCAAAGAACCAAAGAGTATGGATTCCTGCAGTGACGAAAGCTTCAAATCAAGACTTTAACAGACTGTTAGGGGAAGAGCTGTGAGCATGCACCTATGAAGGTCGGCACGGTACACGAGGGGGTGGCCAGCACCACACCCGACTGCAATTATTTTCCCAGTGGCGATGTTTACAGACTGCTAAGGGAGGCCAAGGACCGGTTCAGATAATCGTCACCGGTGTTGGCCGTGTGCGGGAATCAAACCCGGGTGGCCGGGTTCGTAGCGCGGCGTGCTAACCGCTCCGCCACCGCTCCCCCCGCACACACGCGTACACACACACACGCGTACACATACACACGCACGCACACACACACACGCGTACACACACACGTGTACACACACACATGCGTACACACACACACGCGTACACACACGCGTAAACACACACGCGTACACACATGCGTACACACACACATGCGTACACACACACATGCGTACACACACACACGCGTACACAACAACAACAACCGCCATTCGCCACTAAGTGGCGGTGACGTCACCACGACGCTTGTGCCAGGCTATGTGCACCCTGAGGCCACGTGCAGTGTCAAACGCCCGCTGGCAGGAGGTCACGGGGCAGACCCAGGTGCCACGGGTCGACTGACTGAGATGACTGAGATGACTGGCTGATGCACCACCTGTGCCCCCTACTGTGGCAACCTGCTGTGCGTACACACACACACGCGTACACACACACACACACGCGTACACATACACACGCGTACACATACACACGCGTGCACACACACACGCGTACACACACACACGCACACACGCATACACACACACACGTACACACACACGCGTACACACACACACACGCGTACACGTACCTGTTGCTTGAAATTGGGGTTGAAGCCAACAGGCGCGTAACCATTGATCGATTTGCCGATTAAAAGTTGATTATTTTTTTTATGCTCATGAATAAGGCATCGAGTCGTGCGCGGGAAAACCCATTATTTCCATTCATGTGAAACGCATCGATTAGTTTCCCTCGAGCCAATGGTCGCGGCGTCCGACACCAAACGAAGGAGGCGGTGGAGAGACGAGGTGGCGGTGCACGCTGGGCGTCACCACGAGACGGTACAGAGTGAGACGGCAGAGACTAGGGCGAAGACACGAGGCGGTGCAGACCGGGGGGGACAGGACGCAGACGAGATGGACGGTGGCCACGAGACAGGGCAAACGAGACAGCGACAGGCCAGGCTGGTAGCGCACGGTGGGGCAAGAGGAGACAAAGGGGAATTAATCCTCGAATCGAAGCGTGGCATTTTATCCGTGGATCAGCGGACACACCTGCACGTCGGACGCGTGGCTGAGCGCAGTCAATAATAAGCATCAAGCGTGGAGTGAACCCTCTCAACTTTACAAACGTATGAAATACAATTGGCGTGACGACCACACCGACCGACGCCTAGGCGTCTTGAGACATGAGTGGAAGGCGCCTTACAATTAAATGTTAATTCATATTCTTTGGGTCTTTCGGCAAAGCCACGTAGATAGAAAAAATAAAATCTAAATCACGACGTTTCGATCGCAACACAAGCAATCGTCTTCAGGTGAAAAATAAAACGGTTGCTTGTGTTGCGATCAAAACGTGATTTTTTTATTTTTATTTTTTCTATCTATGTGGCTTTATCGAAAGACCCCAAGATTATGAATTCCTGCAGTCACGAAAGCTTTAAGTCAAGATTTAAATGTAAATTATTATCATCATTCTACCTCCCGTTCTTCATTCTCCTTTCATGCTCCATCCTGCATCCCTTGCCTCCCGCGTTCTCTGTGTCGCTCCCATTCACCGATCCACCTCCCGCACCACTCCACCGTGCCGCCCTTTTACCTCTCTCCCTCTCCATGCCCTTTCTTTGTCTGCCTACCCTAGACCCACGCCCCCCGCCCCCACCCGTATCTCTCCCTCATCTCTGTGGATACCCTCCCGGCCCACCACCCTCCCTCCCTCGCCTAGCACAGTCTGTCACGCTGCCCGAGCAGCCGAATGTCTCGAAGCCAAAACTCGTTGGGCGGTGGAGGAGGAAGCGAAAAAAAAACCAAGACCGACCGTGTCACCCGGCGCCGAGAGGATATTGAAGATGACAGGCGAGACGGCGAGAGCAGCAGCCCTCCCAGCCACCGTCACCATCGTAGTCAAACTCTCGCGCAAAGCCACCGGTCCCACTGCCCTGCCCCCCACCCACCCTGCCGACCACCCGCCAGAGGAAAGGCACCGACTCTCCATGAGCAACCATGAAAACCCACAACCATCCACCCACCCGCAGCAATGCGCAGAATCCCTCATTGCTCATCTCGAATAATAGCCCCACGGGTCCAGACGAGACACATCACCCCAATATTCAGAAGCCCTTCACCGGCTCCCTTTCCGGCTCCCGCGTCGAAACCGCATGACTACAGGACGCGCGATGCACGTCCGTGGTTTAATTTCCTACTGAATATTTTCCACGTCGCCGGTGGACTGGAGCAAGTTAGGTGTACTGCATGGGTGCGCCGGGTGCAGAAACTTTTTTCCAGATCACCGACCTAGACAGACGGGGGCTGAAATTAAGCCCCTGTGTAGAGGCCTCTGTCAATTCACCGCTGGATGAGAGCCTCCCCATGCCATTCGGGTCGGGGGGATTATTGGACCATATTTAACCATGACTGTCAACGGGAATGTTAATGACGTTGGGGAACGTGTGAGCATAGAAATACAACACAACCGTAGATTTTGTTGCACTGCCCTCTGCTGTCAACAGCGTAGCCCTGCTGTCTTTGGCCTATGACACCCGTGAGGTACGGTGATTTGCCTATCCATGCACTTTGCCGGATCAGAAAAGCCTGCTTATTAGCTTCTGAGACCTGACGATATTTCCGAGTGATTTGGCCAGAGGCATGGGTTTATATCCACATGCTCGATTCCACTCTAACCTTGGTGGTGGAACCACCTCGCAGTGATGAGCCACGTGCTGCTGATGAGGGTCACACAAAACGGTGACAGATTAAAAATGCCGCTTGGCAGATGGACCGGCACGGAAATATAAATGCGTCGTTAAACCCTCCACCACCCAACCTGGCACAGCCAAGTCGTGAAGGTTTGTCACTTAAACAAAACGTGCCAATTCGTTACTCGCACAGCAGATTGGTTGTGCGTTGGAGAGTAAACCCACGACTGCATTTACAATTCGAGTAGCAGTGACGTTTCGCCGGTAATTGCAACAAGCAGCATCATCAGACGACAG